TGAGGCCCCCTCACCTGCTGGTCATATCTACAAAAGTGGGCTGTTCTCTACTTGATAAAATGATGCTGGGGATAGTAATTATTCTGAGACCCCCAAATATGTAGTTAGTTTTGAGTATTGGAAGTAATATTATTACTCCAAAAACAAAATACTAGAGTTTTTGCAGCTATGCCTCAGTAGGCCCCTGGGAACTAACGCGCCATTGCTGCTCTTGGGGAGACAGGTGGCTTCTTCGTGGTCAGAAGGATTTCTGAGATTTGTGTCTTTCCTTATTTCATGTTGCAGGTGTGCAGGTGGAATGGCACACGGGGTGTGGCAGCGAGCTTTGGTAGCAGGGATCTCAGGTTTGACTCCCAGCTGTCACTTGGGAGCTCGGTGACGAGGTGAATCACTTTCTTTTCTCTTATAGAACAGAGATGCTGACATGTGCTACGTGAAGCTCTTATGCCTGTAAAGTGCGTCAGTCCCTGGCTGCTGGCGGGGGCAGCTTAGATAGTCTGATGATACTTCTTGAGGAGAGAGAGGTAATGGACGCAGTACCTCAAGCGGAGCTATATCAGCACTGATTTGTGTCTGCCAGGCACCTGGGGGCTAGAGTGAGCTGTCCATCTGTCATGGAGACCCACGAGCCCAGGTATCCAGGTTGATCCTAGGGTGCTGGGATCACAGGAGGCTGGGTTCTCCATCTGTTGGGCTAACTCAGTCAGTGGCTGCTGTTTCAGTCCCAGGATAGTTCTTGTAGCTTGGAAAATGCCAAGGGCACCCTTCTGGTGCTCTGTGGTCAGGTGCCATGTTGGGGAGCCCTAGAGAGTCCAGGTAGGATATCAAGAGGAGCTCAGAACTGGTCTGGCTGTACCTCTGGGGCAGCCTCTGCCCAGAGCATGCCTGACAGGGAAGGGCTGGGCTTCAGGGTGTGTCTGGCTGTCTAGACATCTCGTCCTGGCTGCCAGTCTGTGACTTTACTCTCTGGAGACACAGGGTCACCTGCCACCAGACTGCTAAGGGATTCTGAAACTTGAGACTTGGAATAAACTCACATAAAGGCTAATTGGAACCCTGCATTTTTAGCTAATAGCTAAGAGGGATTGTGGGCTGGCACATCTGTGGCTGCTGTTACCCTCGTTTGCCTTCCTGGCTTCCCAGCGCCGTGGCTGTTTGTGGGAGGCTGCAGGGGTGCTCCTGACTTCTGCAGACACCCTGCTCCTCCCATGACTTGATACTTGCTGTCCCAGGCAGGCCAGCTCAGAGGCCAGTCTGTGTGTCTGATCTTTAAAAAAAGTTAAGCTAACACCACCAGAAATATTTATTAAGTAATAATTCAGAAAAAGGCAAAAACCTATTTTAAGTTTTTAAACTACATTACTTTTTTTTTATCCTCACCTGAGTACATTTTTCCATTTTTTTGTTCCGATAGAGTGGGAGGGAGAGAGAGAGAGAGAGAGAGAGAAACATCAAGTGGCTGCCACCTGCATGACCCAGCCAGGGCCGGGGACAAACTGCAACCGAGGTACATGCCCTTAGCAGGAACCGAACCCGGGTCTCTCTGGACCGCCGGCCGACGCTCTAACCACTGCGCAAAACCGGCCAGGGCTAAACTACATTACTTTTAATACTCAAAAAGAACTACATTAAAAAACTTTAGCTTTTTCTTGGTTCAATATTTTGGTTAAATGAAATTGCTTACTTTATTTTTACATTTTCTTTGTAACCTTTAAAGTACATATAAAGATCAAACACAGGACCAAAAAAAACAAAACAAAACAAAAAACACACTGTTTTCAGGTCTCTGGCATAACTGGTACAAAGACATTTTGTTGTTGCTCTAAATCTAGACTCTGTCCAGAAAGCTGGGTAGCCGAGCGCACCCAGGCTGTCGGATTTTTCACAGCTTCTCTCCCCGCAGCTGGTCGCGTGCAGGACTGTCCCAGAGCAGTGTCTTCTCTCCACAGGCAGAGGCTGGGACCTGCTCTGCCCGACGCTCTTGTCATGGCGACAGTGAAGTGTGTAGTCAGCTGACGCGAGCCTGAGCGACAAGAGGGCTGCGCTGTGGCCAGCAGCGGGGACCCCAGTTGTGCTTGAACCTTGGCCCACACCCCCGTTCTTCTTGAGCTCCTTCCTCGGAGCCTTCGGGTATAGCCACCCCGGAGCCGGCGTTGCCCCCCTAAGTGGCGCAGGCTCCTGCGGGTTCCACCTGGCCCCGTGTGCAGACAGACTGTCAGCTCCGGTTCAGGGCAATGTAAACCGGGCATTGCTTGTTCGCCGGCGTGTTATTTTCTGCTTACGTTGCTTGAATTGATATAGAAGTAAAACAATTTTGTACGTAACAGAGGTTCTTTTGTTAGGCTCTAGAATGTGTGCTCCTGAGTCAGGTAGAGAAACAGGCTTCGGGGTGCATCAGCATCTGATCTCTGTCTTCTGAGCCCGTAACTTCACTTCTCATCGCAAGTCCAAGATTTACTTCTGAGGGTCTTACAGTTCCTAGATAAGAAAACTCCCCAATTCTGGACAGGAGGGGGGTTTTAGATAAGCTAAGGTTTTAAAACGAACACTTCCAGTTAGAAAATAAGTGTGCGCGTGCGCAGACATCTGCAGAGGTTCCAGTGGTGTCAGCGGGCTGGGTGAAGGGCTAGCGTGGAGGAGGGTGGGAGCCGCGTGCTCCTTGCTCGCACCTGCTCGTGTGTAATCACACACACGCCCCCATGCATTTGATGGCCCGCATCTGTGTACCCCAATACATGCACCTACACGCTACACACACATTCTTTCATATTGTGTCTATGCCTGAGATGACTGCTTTCGAACGGTCATTTTGCTGTGTTGTGGTGGAGTCGGTTTGGCTTTTCCATGGTTTGGCTTTTCCCGGAAGGACGGCGTCTGCAGGTCTTCCCCGTCTCGGGAGGCGGCACGGTGCCCGGGCACTCCTTGCGTCCCGTCCGCTGGAATAGCTTGCTCTTGCGGGGTCGTCTGTTTTTGTGCTCACAGCAAGTGGCTGGCTGCCGTCTTATGTCTCCCAGATTTGCTATTCATTTTTGAAGAAAACGTGTGGAATAACTAATGACTTCTTCAACAGACATTCTCCCTTCTTCCCTCACCCCACCAGCGGAGGGAGACTTAGTTCATCATTTAATTCCATGGGAAAGCGAATAATGAATACAACAGTGTGTGTGTGTGTGTGTGTGTGTGTGTGTACCACATACAAATAACTAAATTGAAACTCGAAAATGAAATGCATTAGAAACTTGGGAGTTTGTTGAGACTCTCCTGGGTGATCACCGAGGATCCTCTGCCTGGCCTTTCTGCTCATAAAATGACTGGAAAGCAATCACGTGCATGTTATCAGGTGGGGAAGTAAGAAGAGTGCCACTCACTTAACAGTTTGCAGACCACGGCTCTCATGCTGCCTCCAGGCACTGCCCGGCAGACCCCACGGTCTCACCGGCTCTTCCAGGAGCCCGACCTGTCTTCCTGACTCCGCACAGCGAGCAGCCTTCTGAGCACATCTTGTGGTTCTCCCTGGCTTTGAAGCTCTCCGATGTCGCACAGAACCCCTCTGAGCACCGTTCAGGGCTTCAGGGTCTGCCCTCAGCCCGCCTCCCACCACCAGCCACCTGGGCCGCAGCTTTGGCATTGGAATTTGAGCAAAACCTAGCTTAACTCTCAGACATCCATCCGGGACTGTACTGATGTCACTTTTTATGGAGTATAAGAACTTGAGTGAAGAGTACTTTTTAAATCAGCCTTACATGTAGTTTGCAGAGTGGTGATTTATGTAAAGGCTATAGAACGTCACCCTGCATTCACTGAAGTGTTCTGTGTTCTGCTATGACCCTGCGGTGGGAGGGCTGGCACTGTCCTGGCGGCTCCCTCTGGCGCGGCCTCCTAGAGAGGATGTGCATGCAGTCTCTGCTCTGTGGAGCACATCACCCCAGGCCTCGGTTTAAAACCATGAGCGTTTATTATCTCACAGGGTTTCCTTGGGGCAGGAGTCCAGGATGGCTGAGCTGGGTACGCCAGGCTCAGGGTGTCCATGAGGCTGTAGTCAGGCTGTTGGCCGGGGCTGCAGTCATCTGAGGCTCGACCAGGAAGGATCTGCCCCGAGCTCACTCTCGGTTGTTGGGATGCCGCGGTTCCTTTCCACGTGGACCTCACCCGGTTGTCTTCATAGCATGGCAGCTGTCTTCCCTGGAGCGAGTGAGTGGAGGGAGTGAGAGAGAGCGAGAGAGAGAGAGAGAGAGAGAGAGAAGACCCAGACAGTAGTCTCTGTTACCTAGTCTCAGGAGTGACATACCATCTCTTCTGCCGTGTTCTCGTAGTCACACAGACCAGCCCTGGCCCTGTGTGGGTGGGGCTACACAAGGGTGTGAATCCCAGGAGCTGGGAGTCCTTAGGACTCCTGGCCCCACACCTATTCTTAGTGGGGTTTTCATGGACGTGATAGACATGAAGGGCTCAAGTCATTAGAAAGGGGATCAGAGGTTTAAAGGGCACAACCTTGCTCACTTTTTTTCTTTTAACCAAGATGCCTTTTCTTTTCTTTTCCTTTTTACGTCTTTCCACCAACCCTCCTCTTTCAGATTATGAAAAACATAGGCATCTTCCCGCAGCACTGGCCTCATCCTGACAGACAGGGAATCTCATTCCACTCCACATCGAAAAAGAAGAGGCAGCATTGTGAATCAGGGCTGCCAGACTTGTCTCATTTCTTTTAAGCCTCGGGCGTTGGGTCCTGCTTGTTCCCTGGGTGTATGTAGACGCTGCGCGGTCCTCGCTGGAGCCGTGCTGGAGGAGCACACGCTGCCAGGAGGCTGGCGGCTCGGGCAGTGGGCTTTCTGGGTGGGACGGTCTCCAAGGGACATGAGTTTGCAGCGATTTGTGCCGTGTGGACTGAGGGGATGTGTCTTCCAGAGTGTGCTTGGCCCTCTGGTGTGATGGCTGTGAGCGGGGCTTTGTGCTGCATGAGCCTTCGCTGTCCCATTACTGTCTTTGTCATCCTCAGGCAGGTTCCAGCCGTGGCCCAGGGCAGAGGGTGTGTGTCATCGATGAGATTGGGAAGATGGAGCTCTTCAGTCAGCCCTTCGTGCAGGCTGTTCGTCAGACACTGGCCACCCCAGGGACTGTGGTCCTCGGCACAATCCCAGTCCCTAAAGGAAAACCGCTGGCCCTCGTGGAAGAGATACGGACCAGAGCGGACGTGCGGGTGTTCAGTGTGAGTACAGCCAGGCCTCCGTGTCTACAGGTGGCGCCAACGTGGACCTTTGCTTTGCATTATGTCTTTTTCTCTCCTGTGATAGAACTTAGGTGAGTCTGTGGTCCAGGAACATACCTCTGCTCCATGTGAAGACAGACCTGCCTGTGGGTAGCCTGTCTCAGCTGCTCTGGCACATCAGTGCCCACCCCCACCAGACATAGGACCTCGCCGGCCACAGAACCCCTGAGCGCTTCTCAGGGTGGTGGTCAGGTTGGGATGCAGAGGCGAGTAAGTGCCGTTTTATGGGAAAGTTTCCCTGGGCTGAGCCACTTCGGGGAGAAGAAGCTGAGGTGTGTGGAGAGCGTTGCCCATGCAAGTTTCCACGACGGTGACACTGTCCGCGCTGTCCAGTGCAACAGCCAGTAGCCAGATGTGGCTCCTGAGTCCCTCAGTTACACGCCACACCCCAGTCACTCAGCACAGCTGTGGAGTCATGCTCAGCAGCGAGGTCGTCCACCAGCAGGAGGGCATCGCCTGGGAGCTTGTGAGGTGTGCAGAGCTGTGGGGCTCGCGCTGACCCGATGGGTCGGGCCCTGGCCCAGCCCAGTGTCCTGTTCCCGCAGGCGCTCGGGTGAGCCCAGGCCCCTGCACTTGGCGAGCTTTGTGTAGAGCGCGTGTGAGATGAGGAGTCTGTTGTGTTGACCAGAGGCGGTGTCTGAGCCAGTTCAAGGGGCTGTGATCAGGCTGCGGTCACTTGTCCCAAACCCTTGCTTTTCTTTCCCTGTTGTCTCTGTATCCTTCTTAGTCATTTTTTTGTGCCAGTGATCACTACACTCTTTGCTGAGCACTGTCCACACCCCACTCTCCCCAACCCCCAGTTTATAATCTCACTGGCCCTGCTAGTGCTGAGTGGACAGTCAGGCGGCAGGGCCCCCTGTCAGGAGCATGGAGAGTGAGCCCTAGCTGCAAGGACCAGGGAGCACCTAACATCACTGGGTTAAATGTCTCCGTGGCCAGCTGGCCCCAGTGGGACAGCCACATGTCGTCACTGAAGTTCCCTGGCCTACTTCTTGTGCAGTAAGCAGTCATTAGTTTGACCAGTCAGATTTGGACACAAGTATTCCACCCTGTCTCCCTCCCTCCCTTCCCACCTGCCTTCCTCTCTTCAGTACATACTGACTGAGCATCTGCTCTGGCGGGGCACCATGCTGAGTCGTGGTGATGGGAGACACTGACCAAAGTTGTTGCTCTCACGGTGCTGACATGCTAGTGCAGGGGCTAGGTAAGAAAAATATAGGCAAATAACTAGGCCATTTTAGATATTGATAAAAGAAAAAAAACTAGGGCACTGTGGTAGCTTGGGGCTGAAGGTGGGAGAGGGTGGCAGTGATCAGAGAGGACCGAAGACGCTGACGGGCGCTGAGCCCTGAGAGCCACACAGCGTCACGTCTTCAGTGGCACCTTTGGAAAGTCAGTGGACCCCTGTGTTCAGTTTTATGTTGCTTTCTCTGCCTCTCAGTTTACGTGGCTGCCATATTTGTTTTTGTTGTAATTCTAGAGTTTCTGTGGAAATAGAGGCAATGAATAGTGAAAGACCATGGAAGACAAGTAGTTCAGTCAGACTGCTTCCGGGTTGGAAGGCTGGGACTTGCTGGTGCTGAGCCCCGGGAGTGGCTGTTTGCACACTGATCTAAAGGTCCTCAGGGCCAGAGGGCAGTGACTCTTAGGTATCCTAAGGTAATGGCATGTTTTCTTCTCTCTCTAAGACAGGAAATTTCTCTCAAAACAAGGTAGTCATTGTTCCTAAGGATGTGTAGATAAAGTGATTATCTTTTGGTGAATTGTGTAAGAGAGAGGGGCTGACCTCCTCAGTGTTCTTGTCTTTCTTGTGTTTCTTTGGGGCTTGTGTGGTCTTTCTGTTCCTATTTCATAAATGAAGAATCTGATTTTCTTTCCCTGAACACGTGGGGTTAGAGGAGCTCTCTCAGGTCCTTCCTTTCTGACGGGCAGTGAGGCTGCTGAGTCCGCTCTGAGGACGTGCTTTCCGGCAGCACCCAGTCTGTGGTGCCGCCCACGTGAGGCGCGTCTGTCTCAGGAAAAATAGACTGTGCGACGGTCAGAATCCAGGGGCAGGAAGGGAGCGGTTTGTATCAGCAGGAGTGGGGAGAGGTGTCCTGAGGAAAGTGGCTCTTTGGCAGGTTCTCAGAGGGGGACGTGGGAAAGGGAGAGCAGGTAAGGGAATAAGTCATGTCCTGAGTGGGGCAGCCTCTCCTGCTGACAGGTCAGCATGTCGGGCCCGTGCAGCTGGGACCGGACTCCTGATGGGGGGCAGTTACTCCACTCAGAGTTACTCATATTACCTAGACTTGCTGTCAGAAGAACACCTGAGGATAGTCCCAGTTCTAGACAAGGTAGAGTGGACACACTTCTAAGTACAGCTACAGACCTTGGATGTTATATATAAAACACGAAAGGCACTCTACTAAGGACGTCAGATCCAAAGAACAACAGGATAGACGCAATTGAAAATCACTTATACCAAGAACCATGAAAATAAACTTTAATAAGAAAAAAAACACAAGCCATCATGAAAATGCTTCCGTGATCAATTATAAACATGCTTGAAACAAATGAAAAAGAGTAAGTCTCAGCTAAGAAATGAAAAGTTTCAACAAAGATATGGAAGGTATAGAGAAGCATCAAATGAAAATTTTAGAACTGTAAAATACAATAATTGAATGAAAAAGTCTCTGGATAAACTCACCAGCAGATTGGAGATGACAGAGGAAAGAGTCAGTGAACTTGTAGATAGAACAGTAGAAATTTTTTTCTTTTCTTTTCTTTTTTTTTATCCTCACCCGAGGACATTTTTCCATTTTTTGTTCAGATAGAGTGAGAGGGAGAGAGAGAGAGAGAGAGAAACATCAATGTGAAGGGACACATCGAGTGGCTGCCACCCGCACGACCAACCAGGGCCGGGGACAAACTGCAACCGAGGTACGTGCCCTTAGTGGGAACCGAACCCGGGTCTCTCTGGACCACAGGCCGACGCTCTAACCGCTGAGCCAAACCGGCTAGGGCAGAACAGTAGAAATTTTTCAACAGAGAGCAGATTAGAACTCTCTCTCTCTCTCTCTCTCTCTCTCTCTCTCTCGCCTCGGGGTCTGGTGGGGCTCTAACAAAAGATCTAACATTTTGTGTCTTTGGAGGATGTCTTGGTAATTGAGAAACTTCCCTCCTGGTGCAGGTTTGGGTATAGTTGCTTTCCTGAAAGTTACGTTTCTCTTTCAGAAGTTTGCTTAAATTTGTTCTCGTGTCGTCTAGAGTTTATTGCCGTCTCTAAGTATAGCGAAAATGTTTTTAATTTATTTCAATATTTGGTTATCTGAGGCTAATTGTCAAAAAACATTTAATGATGATGCTGGTGCTATAGAGGCAATTGAGGAAGACCTTCTTGGGTCAAGGTCACTGGAAAGAGCCATGTGTCCTCTTATGTAGTTCTCTAATTTCCAACATGAAAACAGTGTTTTTCTTCCTGCTAGTCACTTCTCACAAAAAGCAAAAAATATGAGTTAGCTCCTGTAAGTGGAGTTTAGGAAGCATATTTCATTTGATTTCTTTTGAAATATTTTCTTGATGGAAGTGCTGGAGAATGTCATCTGCTGAGGGGCAGAGATGCCTGGAGTTTGCCGAGTACTGATGTAGAACCTGATGTAGAACCTGGGTGGCCACCAGTCTCGGAGTTCCCGGAGCTAGGTGCTGTGCTCAGCGCCGCAGGTCTGTCATGCATGCCGTCAAGATGTCACAGTGACCTGTGAGGAATGTCGTGTCACCTCCGTTTATCAGTGGGAGGTTGCATCCTTTGTCCAAGGTCATTCAGTGGTGGCAGAGCCAGGACTCAAGCCTCGGCCGGTCTGACTGCATAGGCTGAGCATTAGAATAGCCCTGCTAGACTGTTACCTTCGATCATAGGGTGAGTCAGATGGTTTGACTAAAAAATCTCAGATTCCTAGAAATTACTAGGTTTTTATCTTTAGAAAATTGTTACTATAACTCAAATCCATTTTACTATTGTGAATTCAGAGCCATTTAAATTTGTTCTTTACATAAAGTGGTTTCGCACTTCTGGTCAAGACGACTGGTAGGTAAACGTGGTATCGCGTCCTTTCACAACCACATCAAAGTTACAACTAAACTACAGAACAACCATCATTCAAAACCACCTGACATCGAGCTGAATGGAAGTCCTACAACTACAGAATTGAAGAAGCAGCCACATTGAGACTGGTACGAGGGGCGGAGGGGACGGGCTGGTCCCACACCCATGTGTGACAGATAAAATCAGGAGGATACCTGGGCTGGGAAGGTCCTCCCTGAGGACTGAGGGGTCCCCGTCTCACACCAGGTGCCCCGCTCAGGGTTCCAGTGCTAGGAAGAGAATCCCCATCACTTCTGGCTGGAAAAACCAGCGGGAACTGAGGCTCAGGGAGGTGGAGGCGGCTGGAGCCCCAGGCAGCTCCTCTTAAAGGGCCTGTGCACAGACTTATCAGACTCACTCCCTCTAAGCTCAGAGGGGAAGCAGCTTGAGGGGTGCCAGAGACATACAGGGAAGAACTGAGCTGTTTGGCACTGGAGCGAGGGCTGGAGAGGGGGCTTTCTCCGGGACAAACGTGCTGTCAGAGGCCTTTGTTCCTTTGGTGAGCCCTTCCCTGGGGCGGCAGACAGCTGCCATATCTGGGACTCCAGCAACCTGCCTCACACTGGTAGCCCCGCCCTGGTGATTCCCTGAGACCCCGCCCCACCCAACTTTCAGGCCCACCCAAGCTGTTGCCAGTTGCTTAACCATAGGATTGGCCTGTCTTGGATCCTGCTTCAGGTTTTCCTAAATTCTTTCAAACAAGCAGCTTCTGGTCTCAGCTAGTCCTATACCTCTCGTTAAGTAATACATAGAAACAAACACAGGGAGGCAGCCATAATGAGGAGACAAAGAAACAGGTCCCAAATGAAAGAACAGAAAA